TGCCAGCTGCCAGGGCCGCCGCCAGCTGCCTGCGCGCGCAGGCCTGCCTCGCAGGCTGCCTGACGACGGTGGCGAGCAGCGCGGCGCGCGGCAGCGGGCCCGAGGGCGCAGATCTCGGCAGCCCGCTGCGAGCTGGGCAGCCACACGGGCGGGCCGCCCCCCGTAGCCACGCCGTCTGCCCGCCACGCCGCCATCACCCCAAGATGGCTGAGGCACGAAAGCGGGAAGAAACAGCTTGAGTCAAAATGGCTACGGAGGCGGAGGAGGAGGAGGATGATGAGGAGGAGGAGGAGGAGGAGGAGGGTGGGGGAGGAGGGGGAGGGTGAGGAGGAAGAGGAGGAGGAGGCGGAGGAGAAGGAGGAGGATGATGAAGAATGGAGGTGAAGGAGAGGAGGAGGAGCGGAGGAGGAGGAGGATGAGGAGGTAGGACCGATGATGATATGATGCTGATGATATGATGATGATGATTATTAGGAGGATGGAGGGAGGAGGAGGAGAGGACGAGGATGATGATGATGATGATGATGATGATGATGATGATGGATGGATGATGATGATATGATGATATGATGATGAATGATTGATGATGCTGATGCTGCTGCGGCTGCTGCTGCTGGCGGATGATGATGTATGATGATGATGATGATGGATGATGATGATTAGGATTACGAGGATGATGAATGATGCATGATGATGATTATGAGAATGATGATGATAGATCGTCTGCTGCTGCTGCTGCTGATGATGATGATGATGATGATGATGAATGATGATGATTGATGATGATGAGTAGGAGGAGAGGAGGCAGGAGGAGGCGAGAGTAGGGAGGAGGAGGAGGAGCAGGAGCAGGAGCAAGAACAGGAGGAGGATTCGGAGGAGGAGGAGGAGGAGGAGGAGGAGGCGGAGGAGATGGAGGAGGATTCGGAGGAGGAGAAGCAAGCCGAGGAGGAGGAACAGGAGGAGGAGGAGGCGGAGGAGGAGGAGCAGGAGCAAGAGCAGGAGGAGGAGGAGCAGGAGGAGGAGGAGGAGGAGCAGGAGGAGCAGGAGGGATGATGATGATGATGATGATGATGATGATGATGATGCTGATGCTGATGATATGAGATGATGATATGAGATGCTGATGATGATGCTGATGATGATGAAGATGATATGATGATGGTGATGATGATGATGAGGTGTTTGATTGACAATTAACGATGATGTGAGATGGGTGAGGTGTGGTGATGGTTGATTGATGGATGATGATGATGATAGATGATTGATTGATGGAGCTGATAGATGATGAATGCTGATGGCTGATGCCTGATGAGTGATGATGATGATGATGATGATGATGGATGAACGATGACGATGATGCTGATGCTGATGATATGAATGAGATGATGTGATGATGATATGATGATGATTGAGTAGATGATGATGTGATGCGTAGGAGGAGGAGGAGGAGGAGGAGGAGCCCCTGTGGCTCAGGCGTCTGCCTGAGGAGGGGCCATTCGCTTGCACGTGCGAGCCGCTGTTCTCCCCCCTTGCCCCCCGCGCCGCCATGGTCTCAGCAGCCAGGCTCCATTGGATCATCCAGGAGCTAGCGAATGGCCGCCAAGGTGCTGTCAAAATGTGCAGCCACAGCGACAAGCTGATCATGCAGATCTGCCTGTTCCCCGTCTGGGAGCCGACTATGCGGAACAGCCTCATGATAAGTTTGCTCCACATGGTGCAGCTGGACATCGGCAACGCTAGTATCGTGGACCACGGGCACAAGAACTCCAAAGGCGAGTCCCGCATCCGTCTTGTCGTGAAGCCCCTTCCGGTTTTCTTCGGAGGCTTCTCTGATACGCCGCCGGACACGCGTTCTGCGGTGCAGGAGGGCTCCGAGCGCCAGACGCACGCCGAGTCCATCGGGCCAGTCCTGGCGCACGAGAAGGATGAGTCGTCCAGCGTGCAGCTTCCTGGTGAAGGTGGCGCGACTGGCTCGGGCTCTGTGGCGATGGAGATCGAACCCTGTGCCAAGGCGGAGACCGATATTGAAGTGGTGAGGCCCCGGCGGCACGGAAAGGCCATTGTTCCTCAGCAGCAAGGCGAGAAGCACACATTCGTTCCAGGCATGGCCGCGCGCCTTGTTGGCCTCGAGGCTAGGCCGCTGCTAAATGGTCGTGAAGGCACCCTGTGCTTCTACGACGACGCTGCTGACCGCTGGGCCTTTAAGACTGGTGCGGAGGCCATTCGTGTCAAGGCATCTTGTCTTGAGCCTATCGGCTCCCGCGCGAAAAAGTCTCTCGGCGTGGCGTTCCAAACGGCCGCCTTCGAGTGCCAACATGTGGACCCAGTTGCTAACGACCAGGTGTTCCAGATATTGTACGACCTCGCTGCTCAAGAAGGGCAGCCTGGGGTGGCCGCTGTATTCCTACCGTTGCTCAGCGACAAGACAGCCTTCGACAAGATGTACTGCCACACGGCCGCCAGGAGTCCTGAGATCGTCTACCAGTGAGTGGCGCTTAGCTGCATTCTTGGTGCGCCGAGTGCATCCATTCTTGCGCCCCCATTCGCCATTCCTTGCGCCCCACGTCGTCCGTTGGGTTGCGCTTCTCGTCATGGCTGCTGGCGCCCCCATGTACGTTGGGGCTGCGCTTCCCGCCTAAGATCCTGGTTTCATGTGCTACTCGTTCCTTCGGGCGAGTGCAGCGTTGCCAGGTCTTGCGGGCGAGATTCGGCTGCGTCTCTCGTGCACGTTGCTGCTCTCCTCGTCCCCCGCTATACTTGCCGCCTATCTCACCGCTGACGTATGCATGTGTGGACACCTCAGACGTTGGGTCCCTCAGGGCTGCGGGAAGAAGAAGGAGGAGGAGCAGGAGCAGGAGCAGGATGATGATGATGATGATGATGATGGTGATGATGATGATGATGATGATGACGATGATGATGATGATGATGATGGTGGTGGTGGTGATGATGATGATGATGATGATGATGAGGAGGAGGAGGAGGAGGAGGAGGAGGAGGATGAGGAGGAGCAGGAGGAGGAAAAGGAGCGGGATGATGAGCAGGAGGAGGAGGCGGAGGAGTAGGAGGAGGATGAGGAAGAGGAAGTGTGGGAGGAGGCAGAGGAGGAGGAGGAGGAGGAGGAGGAGGAGGAGGAGGAGGAGGAGGAGGAGTAGGAGGAGGAGGAGGCGGAGGAGGACCGTGACGTGTGTTGGAAAGGGGTGAGGGCGAGGGCGAGAAGGATGATGATGCGGATGCGGAAACATTCGGAGGAGGAGGAGGAGGTGGAAGAGGAGGAGGAGGAATCCGACGAACTGCTCGACGACGACGCCGAAGGCGCAGGCCGATCAGGAACAGGAGGACGCGCGAGCACTCTTAGGATCCACCTTGTCGTAAAAAACGCTGTTTGGGGATGCTGGACTCTAGCTACACTTGGCATGAGTATTTGATCGAGTTTGGCCTTCTCGGAGGGCCTCTTGGCCTTCGCTTTGGTGTTTCGAACCCGTTTGGGTCTTTTCGCGCATTTTGGGATGTTCTGGGGGGCCGCTGGGTGTTTCTTGAGGCAATGTTGGGCCATCTTGGACGGCCGTCTTGGAGTCCTTGGAGAACCTTGGGGAACCATGGGGAAGCTTCGGGCCGCCCAGGGAGTCGCTTACAGAACCCCTGGCAGGCAGCCCTTGGCTCTCTACGGTGGGGGTGTTGGTCAAGGAATGTGCGCCCAGGAGGCCTCAGACACTGGAGGATTCGTTCTCCGATGAGGTCGGCGGTGATGTCCCATGGCCAGTCCACGGTTGAAGTTCCACCAGCTTCCAGACCCTGGGCTCCTTGTCCAGTTGTTCCTTTCTGATCCCCTGCCCTCACCGTGCCACGCCTCAGCGTGCCTAGAGGCATGAGGGCGGATCGGTTCTGGCAAGAGGCGGAGACGGGCGCGTGATTCGGGCGAGGAGTTTGCAGATGAGGACTCGGAGTCCTGCGCGGGCTTGCTGCAACGAGCATCACAATATGTATGTATGTGCACACATATTTTGTACAGATAGTAAGGTTTGTGAACCGTTGGCCTCTCTGGTTGCACCTGTCAATGCAAAGCCTGGAAGTGGAACGCGCTTGGGAAGTTGCCATCAAGCAACACGCGCGAGTGGCAGTACAAAACATTACCGTGGAACCCTGGGCGAGTTCAAAGTGTTCGAGAGATCGCATCGGCCAGCCAGCGAAATGGCGGAACGACTGCTTTCCTCAAGTCTCTGGGCAGACCTGGGTCGAAGCAGCGGATCGGCCTTCGAATAATCGAGCATATTGGGGTCTCGTTCCATTGTGCATTGAATGCTGGCTGCTCTTGTAACAGTTTTCCCTTGCAGGCCCGCCTGTTTGCTAGCAGCTGGCCGCGCTCCCCTGTGTTGGGGCTAGCCTGTGCAGGCTTACGCAGGCTTATGCTGCGACTCGGTTTGAACTGCTTCACGCTACATATTGGTTTGAGTTGCGTTGCTTGTTTGTTGATTCGCAACTCGTTACGTTGCGTTGCTTTGAGCCGCTTGGCATTGCTTTGCGTGGCCTTGCGCTGCGCTGCTTTCCCCCCGCCTTGCCTTGAGCTGCTCCCGCCAGGCACATCATGCCTCCCCTCGCCTCCGTCTTCCCAACTCCTCTACTTCCCCCCTTTCCCTTAGCCCCCTCTCCTCTTCTCTCTTCCCCTCCCTCCTCGACTCTTCTTCTTCTTATTATTTATTGTGTTATTCTTTCTCTTCTTCTTCTTCTTCTTTTTTCTCTTAATCGTCTTCGTATTCGCCTTTGTTTTCGTTTTCGTATCCTGCTTATTTTCCTTATCATTACTATTACTCTTCGTTTTCGTCTTCGTCTTCATCTTCTCCTTCTTCTTCTTATTCCTCTTCTTCCTCTTCTTCTTCTTCCTCTTCTTCCTCCTCTTCTTCCTCCTCTTCTTCTTCTTCTTCTTCTTCCTCTTCTTCCTCTTCTTCCTCCGCCCCGGTCGGCGGCGGGCGGCGGCGGCGACCCCCCTCCCGGCGGACCAGGTCGCCCTCCACGACGTGCCGGAGCCCGCCGAGTGCGCCCAGCTCCGAGGACGACGACTTCGCGAGCAGCCGGCGCTACTGGGCCTCCGCGGAGCACGCGGGGGGCCGGCGCGTCCTCTGGGGCCCCGCGGGGGTCTCCGCGGGGGGCCGAGCCTCAGGGGAGGAGAAGGCACGGATACCGCCCTCTCGCCCTCCTCCGCCTCCTCCTCCTCCGCCTCCGCGGGCCTCCTCCTCCTACTCCTCCTCCTCCTCCTCCTCCTCCTCCTCCTGCTTGTCCGCCTCCGCCTCCGCCTCCTCCCCTGCTGCGCCTCCGAGGGCCTCCTCCTCCGCCTCCGCCTCCGCCTCCGCCTCCTCCTCCTCTCCTCCTCCTCCTCCTCCTCCTCCTCCTCCTCCTCCTCCTCCTCGCGGGGAGGGGCAAGCACCGATCCCGCTGCCCAGGCCCTCGTTTCGGCATCTGTGGGCTTCCCGCGCTGCCCTCGCGGGCTCCCTGGGAGCCGCGGCCTCAGGTGTTCGACCATGGACCCCCTGTGGAACGCAGCCGCCCAGAGCGCCGGAAGCCGCCGAAGACAACCCGGGCCGCAGGTGCGCCGCAGACCGCCGGAAGCTGCCAAGGATCTCCGAAGACCGCCGAAGACAGTCACCGCCGAAGACAGTCACCGCCGAGACTGCCGAAGACCGCCGAATGCCGCCAGACCACCACCGAAGAGCGCCGAAAGCCGTCAGACGACCGCCGAAGACCGTCCCATGCCGATGGGCAACATGGGGGTCCGCAGTCGAGCACGCAGCCGACCCGTTCCCTGGGCTGGTTTTTCATCCCGAGTAGTCTTTGTTACGGTCCTGGGGCCCTGCGAGGGTCCACAGAGGTCGAAAACTGCCAAAAACCTCACGTCGTGATTTTGCTACGAGCATGTCTGGCTCTTCTGGCCATTGCCGTGCTTTGGCTCTCCGGCGGCCGTTCGGGACGACCCGGGCACCCCCAGAACACTCGGGGCGCGGCGCAGCTGCTGGAGACCACCCCGAGGCCGGAAAACCGCCGAGGACCGACGAGAGCGCCCGAAAACCTCAAACCTAGAACCTCGATTCCTGGGCTCCTCGATTTCGCCACGACGCGAGCACGTCTGGATTTCTGTTCCCCCGCAGGCATCCTGCCTGGGCTCCCCGGAGCGGCCCGCCGGGGGCCAGCGGCACTCCTGCTGGGACGCCGCGCAGTGGTCTTCTCCGGGGGGCCGCGCGTCAGGCGGGGCGGCGGCGACCACGGCCACGACCACGACCACGACCACGACCATGTCCACGACCACGATCACGACCACGACCACGACCACGACCACGACCATGACCACGTCCACGACCACGTCCACGACCACGACCACGACCACGACCACGACCACGACCATGGCCACGACCAGGGCGGCACGCACGCCACGGCGACGGCGTCCACGGCGGCGGCGGCGTCCACGTCGGACCAGGCCGGGGATCCGCGGCCTGCGCACGCGGTCGTGGGCGGAGGTCCGCGGTTGAGCGTTTTCATGGCTCACGGCAGCCTTTGCGTTACGTGCGTTATTCTTTCCTTGGTCTGATCCCAGGCATGATCGCGCCGTAAAATCTCAGGGCGGGCGGTTTTTCGCTATGTTCGGCCCCTGGGGGCCCTCGCCGGTCCCCGGGACCGTCAAACAACGACTCAGGATGAGAAACCGGCCCCGGGGAAGGGGCCTGGACTTCTGGGGACGCCATCCTGGAAAAATCAGGACGTCGCATGTCTGGGATTGCAGGGCCCGTGCCCTTCCCGTGCCGCTTCCGCGTCGCTTGCGTGCCCAAGTGGCCGTTGTGCTCTGATGGCGCTAGGCCGGGGGAGGGCGTTGAGCGCATTCGAAGGGAGGCGGAACGGAAGCGTAGTGAAAGTGGAGCGACAGCAAACGCCTCAGCGTAACGCGAAGTCTCCTATGAGCAGCTACACAAGGTCCGCGCGCTGCCATGTTTTCGCGCTGGGCGTTTCGCCCGATTTCGGGCCCTGGGGTCATCGCAGCACGACCCAGCTCGGGAAGGTGCTGCAGAACAAATTGGGTCTGGGGCTCCGGGTCGTGACTTTTCGTGAGGTTGCAGTTTTTTTTGGCAGCTGTGTCGGATCTCGGGGGGCGAAGGACCACTGGACACCAGGTGGGGAGGCGCGCGCTGGCAGAGGTCGACGAGGACGACAAGGAAGCCGACGAAGCGGACGACGACGACGTTGGCGGCGGCGGGGACGACGACTGCGACGGCAGCGGCCGCGACGACGACGACGACGACGACGACGACGACGACGACGACGACGACGACGACGACGACGACGACGACGACGACGACGACGAGTGCGACAGCCCCAGCGGTCCTCGCCCGCGCCTCGGCAGGCGCCCGAGCGGCCCCGTCGTGCGGGCCCGCCGCCGCGGAGCGCGCCGCCGCGCACCGCGCCCGGGCGGGGCCGCGGGCCGGTAGCGTTCGGCCGCGCGCGGGCACGCCTGGCAGCGTCAGGCTGAGGCCCGCCATCTGCCGCCGCCGCCGCCGTCGCCGTCGTCGTCGTCGTCGCCGTCGCCGTCGCCGTAGCCGCCGTCGCCGCCGCCGTCGCCGCCGCCGTCGCCGTAGCCGCCGTCGCCGCCGCCGTCGCCGCCGCCGTCGCCGTCGTCGTCGCCGTCGCCGTCGCCGTCGCCGTCGCCGTCGCCGTCGGCGTCGCCGTCGCCGTCACCGTCGCCGTCGCCGTCGCCGTCGCCGTCGCCGTCGCCGTCGCCGTCGCTGTCGCCGTCGCCGTCGCTGTCGCCGTCGCCGTCGATGTCGCCGTCGAGTCGTTTCTAGAAAGCAGTTCTCGCTGATGTGTGGAGGCGTTTCCGGGCGCTTTCGTTTCGACGTTGGCTGCATGTTCTCGGCATGCGAAGCTTCCGCTTTCTGCTGTCGCTTGTTTTCTTTTTCCACCCATCTCCCCCTCCCCCTTCCCCTCCTCCCACTCCCCCTCCTCTCCCCCTCCTCTCCCCCGTCCCACTACTGCTTCCTCCCTGCGCGCTGTCCCAGAATGCCCTCCCCTCCCCCCCGCCCCGCCCCTTTCGTCTTGCCCCCCCCCCTCCCCGCCCCTAGCCAGCTGGAACGCCAGGCAAACGCGCCGGGCCAGCCCCGGTGAGCGGGAGTGCCAGACGCGCCCCACGGTCGTGGAGCTGACCGTCCCGCTCCGCTCCCGAAAAGAAAGAGTGGGGCGGTGGGCGGAGAAGAGGAAGCGGGCCGGGGGCCCAGGCAGCCCCCGTGGCCGTCCGCCTCCTCTTTTACTGGTCCTCTTCGAGGGGAACAGACACTGACATGTCGCCGCGCCGCTTGTTCTGTCGCGCGGTCTTGTGCCTTGGGGAGGGCGCCGCGGCCACCAGGGCGAACGCCGCCTCGGACGCGGTGGGCTTGCCGTGGGGTCTGCCGCCGTGCCGGCTTCGTCTACCTGGGCGCGGGGCGCACGCAGCCAAGACGCTGGAACAAGTAGCAGTCTGCGTTCGGAAGGGGCTCGAGGTTCCCTGGGTCCTTCCGTGGCTGTTTCTTTGGCGCTCCTCGGCCACGCGGGCGCTTCTGGGGCCAAAGAGGGGCTTCGTTCCTCATCTAGCTTTCCTCGTGTCAGCAGCTCGAGTGCAGCGCGCGCCAGCGTCTGGCAGTCGACGAGACAGCACCGACATTCGCGTCCACTGGCATCGACGCATCGGTGATGAGCGTCGATGAGCGTCGATCTGCAAACAGAGGCTGTGGTAGGCTCCCGGGAGCTGCCGCGGAGCCCTTCCCCGACGGGAGGCGCGCGGCTTTGGGGGCCTCGGGCCCCCATTGGTGCTCCAAACACAGGCACCTTTCCCTGTGGCCTGGGAGCAGTCCGCCGGGTGGTGTCTGTGCATGTCCGCCACCGTGCCGGGAAGCTCGAGGTGGACTGGGCGCTCCTGGGGCTTCCCCGTGTTCTCTCGGGGGAGCGTAAGACCCGGGTTTGCCAGGACTCGGGTTCGCCATCGTTTTTTGACGACCGCGCCTCGGATTTTGACGAGGAGGAGTTTCGTGGGATGTCTGCAGCGGGAGGCCTCGTCAAAATGCAGGCTCGGCCTCGTCATTTTTTTGACGACCTCGTCGGGGATTTCCGAGACTCCCGTACCCGGGTCTTACGTCTCCCCGTGTTCTCGCGCGATTTGTTTCCAAAGACAAGGGGGCCCCCAAACGGAGAGCCGGCGGCCCGTGGCAGTGGGGCACGAGCCGGTCGGGCGTCCTGCCGTGCCCTCGGGGGGACCCCCGCCGCCCCGCCTCGTGGGCGGGCAGCGCGGCCTCCTGAGGCTGACGCTGACGACGAGGCTGATGACGTCGACGACAACGACGCTGCTGACGACGGCGCTGATGACGACGACGACGACGACGACGACGACGACGACGACGACGACGACGACGACGACGACGGCGACGACGACGACGACGACGACGACGACGACGACGACGACGACGACGGCGACGACGACGACGACGTCCGACGACGACGACGTCCGACGACGGCCTCGCGGTCTGGACCCCCTCGGCCGCAGCCCCATCAGTGCAGGGCGGCGCGGCGTGGATGTCCTGCGCGGAACGTCTCCGCGGGATCGCGCGTCCAGGGGGTCGCGCCGGGGCGTGCGGACAGCGAGGGCATATGGATGTGAATAGCCCAGAAGTCAGATTTCGGTGATCTTCTCGCCCAGAAGGGATGTTTTAACGGAGGAGGGGAGGTCCTCTGTGACGCTCGTCGCTCGGGATCGGCCACGCTTGCGGACTTGCAGGAGTCGGGTTGCGGGTGTGGGTGTCGCTGTGGTGCTAGGGTTGGAGAGGAGGAGGAGGAGGAGGAGGAGGAGGAGGAGGAGGAGGAGGAGGAGGAGGAGGAGGAGGATAATAATAATAACAGGAATAATAATAGTAATAATAATACTACTACTAATAATACTAATAATAATAACAATAATAATAATATTAAGAATAATAATACTAATAATAATAACAATAATAATAATAATAATAATAAGAAACATGGGAGAAGTAGGGGAGCATGAGGGTTCAGGATGGGGGAGATGAGGGGGGAGAGGACCAGAGTAAACCCAGGATGCGTCTACGGTTCTACAATACTTGCACCCTGCCGTCCCAAGTCCACTCCTCATAAGCCCCTACAAGTATTCCGTCCCAGTGCGGGACGAGCCCCCCTTGAGTGACGAGCGCCTGGTGGGCGTACTATTCGAGCGATAGCCCCGATTCGTAAAGGACACATCGTACAGTTTCAGTTTATGGAAGAGAACGCAGCGAACGTCTCAAGGGAGAGTTGATTTGAACAGCAGTCGCCCTACACCCGTGTGGCTTTTGTGCAATTCTTCACGCTTCGCGTATCCCCACCCGTTCCCGTGCCGCGGAATTTAGGCCGTTGCTTGTCAGCCGCGTTTCTAGACGGCGCCTGGCACCCCTGCGCGCTCGCGAACAAAGAAAAAGTATCCCCACCCGCCCATTCAGAAGCCCTGCCCATGAGAGCTGACGGGAAAAGGGACGAAGAGACACGTCTAGGGAAACAAAGCGAGCAACCAGGGTGAACCGAGAGATCTCTGGGAGCAAGGGGGTGGCCTTGGAAGGCCTCTTCGGGTCATCCCTGGGGGCCGCGTGGGGGCGAGGGGAAGAGGATGAGGAGGAGGAGGAGGAGGTGGAGGAGGAGGAGGAGGAGGAGGAGGAGGAGGAAGAGGAGGAGGAGGAATAGGAGGAGGAGGAGGAGGAGGAGGAGGAGGAGGAGGAGGAGGAGGAAGAGGATGAGGAGGAGGAGGATGAGGACGAGGACGAGGAGGGCGAGGAGGTCGAGGACGCGGATGAGGACGAGGACGAGGAGGACGAGGACTAGGATGAGGACGACGAGGGCGAGGACTGATGGAACCATCTAGAGGTATTTTTGCGGCTGCTGCTGTTGCTGCTGCTGCTGCCGTTGCTCTCTGGGAGTTTTTTGGGCCCTCTTGGAACCCTCTTGTTATCCCAGGAAGGCTTCTTGGGATTATCTTGGAGGCCATCGATTACGGGATGGGGGGGGTCCCCAACTCAGCCCCCCCCCCCCCTGAGGAGCCGGCAAACCGCTTCTTGGGGCTCTCTTGGAGCGCTCTTGGGCGCTCTTGGAGCGGTCTTGGGGCCATTTGGAGCATCTTGGGAGCCATCTTGAGCCAGCTCGGGCTATCTGAGCCATCTTTAAGGTCATCTTGGGCTCTCTGAGGCCGCTCGGGGGCCTCATGGGGGCCTCTCGGGTGCCTCTTGGGGCCCTCTTGGGACCCTCTTGGGGCCCTCTTGGAGCTCCCCTGGGAGCCCTGGAGCGCCTCTTGGGGCCATCTTCGAGGCTATCGATCAAAGGAGGGATGGTCCCGATCGGCTCACCCCATCGGGGGCCACGATCTTCGTGATGGGTGTCAAAAATTGGCCCTCCCAGGGGCCGAAAAAGGACCCTCCAACGCGCCGCGAACCCCCCCCAAAAAGTTCAGGGGAGTGGGGAGGGGGAGGGGTGAACCCCTCCCCGAAGGGGAAGACGGGTTTTTGGAAGAGGAAAGAAAGAGCATCGTTAGACCACCTACGCCCAGAGGGCTGGTGGGATTTCGAGCCTCGGGCCATCGAGTTTTGGGGAAGTGTCCAGCGAGAGCCGCACATCTCGATAATGAAGCGGCCTCCACCCCTGTAGCAATGGCAAGCTTTTTCAAGACGATGGTGCGCGGCGCCAGGGCGAGGGTCGCATTCGTGTAGCCGTTGCGGGCTCGAGACGACTGTGCGTGGCGAGAGGGCGAGAGCTCCACTCTTACCACGACTGCTCCTCCATGCGTGCGAGCGGCTGCTGGTGTCTATGTAAGCGTAAGGATGTGAAGTCGCAGGGGAGGTTCGGGCAACGCTTGGCCCAGCATGCGGACACGTCTGGTGGTGCGACGGGGGGGGGGGGCCCCCCCCGAATTGCTGCTCTTAGAGGGCGCGGGCGCGGACCTTCTCTGTAGATGTAGGGCCGGCGACTTCTGAGAAGCAGCCTTCTTCTAAGAAGCCTTCCCCCCTCCCCCTGCCCCCTCGTGCACGTCGTGCTTTTGCCATGACGTGACCCTCCGAAGTCCGGACTCCTTCCCTGGACCAGTTTTCCAGTCGTTTTTTGACGGTCCGGCTTCTCATCCCGAGCGGCAGGGGCCTGGCGAGGGCTCCCGGAGGCCGAAGGTGGCCAAGAACCTCCCGTCGTGTTCTGTTTGACGGCGCGATCTCATGTCTGGGTAGCGGAGCATAGCGGACAACATTTACCGTCGTGTCGTTTTTTCTGTTGAGACCCCAGGACGTTTATGTGTTCATTTTTGGTGTGGGAGCGTCGCGATTTCCGTGGCAGAGCCCTCGAAATCCAAGAAGCCCAGGCGAGCGCCTTCTTGTTCGGCGCTTCGCAGCGCGAGGGGGCCTGGGCAGGAGGCGGCGTCGAGGGCAGGGCTGCGCCGACGCGGCCCTCGCCGCCCAGCGGCGGCCCCGGGGCGCGGGGGGGCGGCGCCGCGGCCATGGCACGCCGCCCGGCGCCGCCGCCGCGGCCGCGCCTCTCGGGCACGCCCTGCGGGGGGGGGGGGGGGCCCGCCGCGGGGCGCCGCAGAGAGGGCACGGCCCTCGAGGATTAGTTGAGTCGGGCATGTCCTTCGACAGGAGGAGTGTTCAAAAGTAGCTCGAGCCTCGTCTGGGGATGACGTCTCGATTGCTCTCTGGACTGCTTCGGAATCTCTTCGACAACTTTTCAGTTGCCGCCGAAGATCCGCCTGCAGGGGGACACGCCCGACCTACCTCGAGAAATCGAATCGGCGGCGAGCGGGGGGGGGGAAGCCAGAAGGAGAAGGCCTTCTCTGGAGGCGGCGGGGCCTCTCGGGAGCCCCCCTTCGGGCCCCCTGAGAGAAGCTTCCTGTGCCCTCGGGGAAGTGCTCGGGAAGCTGCTCAGAAGGCTGGTATCGCTCGGACGTGTGCACTTTTCCTCGGCGGGGATTATTGGGGAGCATCCTGGATCATCCTGCGACAAAAGCCACGCACGAAACCGAACAAACGCACAGGGAATGGACGTCCGAGCGATGGCCAGTCCTGTGCCTTCGAGGAAGTGCTCGGAAAGCTGCTCGGAAGGCTGGGGGACTCCCGAGCCTCCTGAGAAGGCCCGCCCCTCAAGGGGCGGGCCTTCTCGCAAGAACTCGTGGCCT